GGTAGGGAATTCAGAGAAAATATTAACACATATACAGTCATTTTCATGCTCATGCCAAGTTTGTTTGACCGTTTGCATATTACTGTAATTGAAAAAAGGAGGGATAATTCCTCACTAAACTATTATTGACACTGTTCTATTTCTAGCAAAAACAAGAAAGTATTTTAAACAGTCATAGAAATTCCTAGAGAGTTTCCAGATTGATTTATAACATATACTGTTTTCCTTTTCCTTCTGCTGCATTATTCAGTATCTTGATGTTTCACAAACTTATCCTGAAAATCTAGGTTCATAAGCAAGATTTTTCTCTCTCTTTTTTGGCTTAAAGAAAGTAAGTAAATAAACGATCATTTTCACCGATCGCTTTCGAATTTAGGTTCTGTACACCACTGATATTAAAAAAAAGTGTTTTATTTTACACTCCTTGAATGCATACTCGTGTGTGTGTTCAGAACACATGTACGTAGTGTCGACTGTGTATAAATTGACTGCATCTTCTCCTTTGTTGCTTTAAATGACTTTTGCACTTCCCTCACCTTCCGCGTTTGCATAATCCACTACTTGGTCGCAAGCGGAAGCGGAAATTGTGCAATGTTCGGAAATCGGCGAAGCGGACAGGATACTCGACTGCACACGAAATAATTATTTTGGATATTTCAGTTGGTATAATCTTGAAATTGATATTGCATTTTGTATCCTTATATATTTCAAGTGTGTTTATTATTCTTACATAGAAATCAATTTGAGAATATCTGCAACGTGATTGTTTACGTGCGCGTCAAAGGAACTTGTTTAAGTTTATCCTCCAAACGAAGTTCTTGCAACAGATTATGTTACAAACTAACCATTTCTTCTCTGCAACAACGAACGAACCCACATACACCGTTTTAGTAATCGTTGAGCTTCCATTTCTGCAGCAGACGACAAACAACCTGCAAGATGGGATATCGACCACGGGGTAACTTCGAATGGCGGATGATATCACAAACTGGTTGCTGAAATAGGCGCTCGTGTGACCGTGCCTTAAGACGCATTCACATTAAAACACTATCGCCAACTAATCTGCGATAACTTCCGAATCATCGTAGGAATCAACCAGTGTTATGAATTTCGAAGGGCAGTACTTTCCAGAGGACGGACGGTCTCGTTCCCGGACTCTGCTATATTCTGACCGAAAATATCCAGCAGATTTGCCAATTCATTTTCAACGGTATATATACTTTGTATTAGATATTGATTAGTTTTATAATTTCATCACTAATACCAAGTCATATTAATTAGTCATCTAATTCGACTCTCGCGGGCCTCTCCTGTCTAAATGGTATTCAAAGTATGAAATGTGTTTTATTCAGAATCTATAGATGTTTATACGATCTTTATATGTATAAACATTTTAATTCCATTACTTATCATATATCATTAATAAGTTGCTTGTATTCGAAAAGACCTTGTAGATCGCATGCTCTGTTGTAACCGCACGCAAACGTACTTTTAACGCAATAGTTCGCTTGCTGTGTGACTAGAGATAACTTCCAAGGGTACAGTAATTCATGTGTGTGTACATACATGTATGTGTGTGTGTCGCGATAAATATTACTTGTCAAGTGATATCTATAATTCACCAGCGCATGATACTAAAGAATTACTGACAGGTTTTAAGCTTAGCTGCTCTTTGCTAAAACACCCTGCTGTACAG